TCACATACAAGTAATTTCATCAACAATTTATTACATCGACATAATGAGTTTTTCCACAAGAAGCAACGAACCATTCAACATGAACGATCCATTGCCAGTTTCGAGTTCATCTTCGTTATTTCCAATCTACATTTCATCAGACGATGATGAAGTTAACTCTCGTATTGGTAGGAGAGCCATTTCCCCTGTTCCTTTTCCCAGCTTGGAAGATGTTGGCCATGAGGTTCCGCAAGCACCAAACGGTGTGCTCGATGAGGTGTTCGAGCTCGACACTAGATACAAGGAGGATTCCGACGACAACGACTCCATGGCCTACGTCGCAAAGAATGAGGTAATTATCATATCGTCGGACAAGTCCGGTGAAGACAGCGGGGGAGAAGGTTCAATTGTTGACGACGAATGATGTCACGCCCATGGAATGTAGTGAATAAGTATTGTATAGTCCAGTATTTTGTAGAGATGAATTTGGTAAACACAAAACCAAAAAGTCAACATAAACATGTTCCTAGGGTGTAATCTAGGTAGTGCATTTTGTGTACTCCGGTCCAATGGTCAAGAATTACAGAGCCTATCTGTCGGGATCGACAAATTAAATGTCAGGTTGTAAGAATCATATGTTTGTAAATAGATCCGTATTTTGCAGTGCGTTGAACGGATATTATGAAATGGTGTTTATCGTGTACTAAAATAAGTTCACTATTTACGATGTTGCAAATGATAATATATTGCGTGGGGATTGAAACTTGCGTTTTTAAGTGGACGAAAAAGATACAAGGTTTTGCGTAGGTGCAGAACACTTTGCACACTGAAATTTGTATGTGCACAAAAGGATGCCGAACGTCCAGAAATGGTAATTATCACAAACTTTATAAGATAACTTCATAATGTGCAATGCAGCATGGAACATTCAACATACAACGTCAATTACACTGAAAACCTCTAACAAATTACATTAGGGTTTGAACATGTGCTCCGGTTATGACCAATTCGACCACAACGAGTGCATTTCCTGCTCGACCATGCAGACTTGTATCTAGAACTCTTACGTCGGGTCGGTGGTCTACCTAGAAGACAACGTACGAGTGGTGGGAAAATAGGAGTACATATAATTAAGCTCGGAACAACCCAGTCCACTTCACGTCCAATGGGATATATAGCTTCATTATAGGTACTCCTCCAGTATTCAAATGTGTAATAGAGAGAGCTTAGGTCGTATATAAACTTTCCTCTGAAGCAAGCAGCACGAGTTATATGAACATATAGCATACGATTTAGTTGGAACTCACGACACGTGCAGGTGTCCTTGAAAAAGTCAACTATGTCTGTGTCATCGGATATTCCGACTTAGGTTAAGTTGTTTGTCAAGAAATGGGCTTGAAGCCTAGTTCCATCTTCGAATGTCGTTCGTAACTTGGTCTCTATCCTCGGCGTCAATACGGTATTGCATTCGGTCACATTTGTTCGATGTTCATAAAACCACTTCTGTATAGTACTCCGAATGTGTTCAATCAAGCATATTATCGGTAATGAACGAGCATGTCTCAACATGGAGTTCAAAGACTCTGCGTTGTTGTTTGTCATAATATTGTAACGGTGGCCAATAAATAGCGCTTGGGACCAAAATGAATAACCTGCTCGCTCTGAATACCCGTGCGTTCTTGCGCTCACCCTACGAATCTGTCCCATGAGTCTTTCGAAGTCCTCGACCCGATAAGTTGTAGTAGCTCGTTTCAATAGAAATATTGCACTTGCATTGCTGTACCGCTGTATTAGGTTCTTCTCGAGATGTCAGATACAACAACCATGGTAAGACAACGGAAACAACTGAGTAATAGCTTTCACAAGACTGTTTTTCTTGTCTGAAACAAATACGAGTTCTTCGGAGTTCTCTATAAGGTCTTTCAAGTTAGACATAAACCACTCTCAGGATTTATTGGTTTCGGCATCCACGATCTCCCATGCAAACGGATAAATCTGTTCGTTAGCATCTTGCGCAGTTGCTACTAGAAGTGTATCTTTGTATGGACCATTCAAGTGACTGTCATCAACACAAATAATGGGTCTCAAGTATTGCATGTAACCACGAATGCTTGCACCAAAAGTTAGGAAGAAGTAATGAAACCTATGAAAAGAATCAACTTTAATATGGGTTACTGTCCCCGAGTTATTCTCTCCTACGATGTGGCAATACGAAGATAATTTTTGAAAACTGTCCCCCGGTGTACCATATAGCATATTTAAGGCATGAAGCGTCCCCCTACGTGCTTTGCTGTAACTAATTTTCACACCGAACTCACGTTCCATATCATGTGTAATAGCGGTAGGGTCATACGATTGGTATGGAGTATCCAGTTTTCCCAAAATCTGATCGGCAATTACAGAACTAGTGGCATGTCGATGTGCGTTACGACGAAAATCAAGGGAACATGTGTGAACTCTAATGAATTTACGGATCGTGAAGATTGTAGATTCCTTGACAATAGAGCACGTGGCATCCACTTGCAATTATCGTCCAGACATACAACGGTTAACATTTTCCTGCTTGACCTACTTGCTCAAAATTGGAACTTCTCTTGCAAAATAAGTACACGAATCTTCAAGTACAACTGTTTCTTGCTAAAGAATATTTATTTTTTGACGAAAAAGGATGTATTTATGACTGTAATCCACCCATCTATACCATATATCAGGTTGTCTAGGTGCTCATCGGTTGTTGCAGCCTCCATATGGTCAATTGAAGGTTCCGGTGCTTCGGTGTTCGACACACCGTGCTGATGATTTAGCTCATCATGTTGTACGTTCTGGGGACATTCCGTTAGGCTGAACAAATTCCCTGCACAGTTTGCACCTCTCACCATGTCAACACTCGGGAGTTCGATTTCCAAAATAGTGGCGCAGAGTGCAGTTTCCTTATGAACAGATATGTACCAATTTAGGTTCTAATCGTCACGTATCTCTGCCAGAGGTATATTCAAATTCGGGACTTTGAACTTCAATTTGATTTCATTGCGGGGTTCAATGATACCAAATTTGTCCTTCAACCGTAACACAAGTTCTTTTACGGTAATACTTCTCGACGCTAAAATGGAAGTGGTTTTGTCCCCTCTCCACTTTCATTCCTTATCTACGTGAATAAAGTTTCCCCCATGCGACACGATAAATCTCAAATCATAACTCATACCTGAAATGTTGGGACTGCAAAAATGAGAATTTTGCACATTCACATATCGATATTTAATATCATCAAATTGGCGCATGCAAATACTTAGATCCATGTAGTACCAAATAGAGAAAGGTTGACAACAGTTTTCAGGTGTCATAATCGACAATTAAATTGTATATCCCGACAGTTACTAAATATCGAGTTCGACAGTTAAAATGTCTAACACGACAGTTTTGAAGATACTTGTAATACTCCGAATTTTGTGATCATTTAATTTTTAGAATAGCAATTTAACTTTTCAAAGTTTAGTATGACCAAAAAATTATATATGGTTGCCAAATTTTGCATTGGTTGATTTATTAAAAGTTTTTCCAAATAATTTGTTAATTAGGGGTTTGGGATAAATGTCCATTTTACACCTAATTACTAAAGTTAAACATTGTTTCTCCAACTTGGCCGAAAATTGATGAAACATATATGCATGAGGTGTTTTAAATTTAAGCATGAGGTGACTAACTAATGCATGAGGTGTTTTAAATTTAAGAAGGTGAAACCATGCAACCTACACATGTTGAATTTCTTGAAGAGTCGCCCAAAATTTATCATTTTTCTCACCTATAAGTAGATGTGTTGCTGCCCTTTATTTCCCTTGCATGAAAAATAACTTATCACTTGTTTAAAAAAGGGCAGAAAACATGAGGGAAGAAGAGGACCAACCTGGCATTTCTCAATTCATTTTCAACCAAGATTTCTTCAAGTTTTATTGTAAGATACTTTCTATGCTTAAGTGGTATGATTTCATGGTAATATTTATACTTAAGCTATGCATGAAAAACCATAATATGAATGTGGTGGACAAGTCCACAAAGTTAGATATCTATTTATGTCTTAGGACAAGTCCGAAGGGCACCGGCAAGCCGGAATGTGCAAGTATGTGTTTGATTGCATTCTTTTGTATAGTATTAACATGTTAAAATCCAAGCATGGTATCTTACTGAATATTCTTTATACTCA